TGCAATTTATAAATTGCAAATTTATATAAGAATAGCTCTGAACCCTACCTTATCCTGAGCCAGTCTCATTGCCTCTGACACACCTACCCTCATTATTCCAGTTACTGTGTCAATCCATTTCATCCAAGATCTCCCTCTCCTGAGCTGTCCCTCCACCTTTCCATGCATTGAGTCCTTCTGCAAGAACTGGTCTCTCCTGGCAACATGCCCCAAAGTATGTGTGACATAGCTTAAAAATTCTTACTTTCAAGGAACAACCTTGTTTCACCCTCCCCAGGATAGATCTTATTCATTCTCTTGGCAGTCCATGGTTTGGCCAGTGCTCTTCTCCAGCACCACAACTTAAAAACACAGATTCTTCTTTTGTCACTTTTAGTCATTGTCCAGCTGCATAACAAATAATTGCAAAGACTGTGGCTTAGATCAGGAGCACCTTAGTCTCTAGACTGACATTGTTGCTTTTTAGCACTCTGGAGATATCCTAGACAGCAGATTTTCTCCAATGTAATTAATCTTTTGATTTATTGACTCTAATGCTGAGAGTATTGATTGTGGACTTGAACAAATCTCAATCTCTTCTCCATTTACCATGATGCTGCCACTTGGTCCCGTGGTGAGAATCTTGGTTTTCTTGATGTTGATCTTCAATCCATATTGAAAACTGCAGTCCTTGACCTTCTGCAACAAATGCTTCAGGTCCTCCTCAATTTCAGCAAGGAAGGTTGTGCTATCTGCATAATGCAGGATGTTGACGAGTCTTCCTCTAACCCTGATGCCACCTTCCTTCTAATAAAGTCCAGCTTCCCAAATGATCTGTTCTACATGAGCTATGGAGACAGGACACAACCCTGACACACTCCTTTTTCAGTTTTGAACCATGTAATGTTTCTTTGTTGTTCTGAGATCTGCTTCCTGGTCCAAATATAAGTTTTGCATGAGCACAATAAAGTGTTTTAGATTTTCTGTTCTTCTCAGTGTTAGTCAAAATTTGTTGTGATCCACACAATCAAACGCCTTTGCATAGTCAATGAAACACAGATAGACATTCAACTCGTACTCTCTGCTTTCAGCCATGATACATTTGACATTAGCCAATGTCCCTACTGCCGTGGCCTCTTCTAAACCCAGACTGCACTTCTAGTAGTTCTCTGTCGATTTCGACTAATCCAGTTGTTTTTTAAAAAACAATCTTCAGCAATATTTTGCTTGCATGTGGTATTTCTTATTTTGCTTTGTCTTCTCAAACTGCCCTTTGAAATCTTCTGTTTATCTCTTTAACTTTTGGATTCATTCCCTTTGCTTTGGCTTCTTGGTGCTCCAGTGCAACATTTAGAGTCTCTACTGACATCCATTCAGTCTTTTCTTCCTCTTCTGTCTTTGCAATGACCTTTTTGATAATCCTTCCAAAGCTCATTTGGTCTTCCTTCATTAGTGTTCAAGGCCTCAAAACTGTTCCTGAAATAATTTTTAAATTCAGGTGACATAGACTCAAGGTCAAATTTTGGTTTTTGTGGATTTAAGCTAATTTTCTTTAGCTTTAGTTTGAACTTGCATATGAGCAGTGGATGGTCTGTTCCACAGTCAGTTCTTGGCCTAGTTTTCACAGCTGATACTGAGCTTCTCCAGTGATTCTTTCCACAGATGTGATATTAGTGATACTGTTTGATAATTTCCACACTCTGTTGGATCACCTTTTCTTGAAATGGCTTTACAGAGGCTATTCAGTATATTCCATTAAAAAAAAAGAAAAGCACAAAACAAAACCTCAGAAAACAATTTCTGTTACTATGGAGGTACTTCCTTTTTAAAAATATCTTCTCAATTATCAAATACAAAAAAATTCTAGAGTAACATCACACAAGTCAAATGCCTTTGCATGGTCATTAAAGCACAAAGAAAACATTCTTTTTTAAAATTGAAATGTTAATGAAAGTTTATAAAGAACTTGGATTTCTATTCATTCATTGTTGCACATTTCCCCCTCTGCCCCACCCCCAAACATTATTCTGGCATTCTTTACTTTCAGCCAGGATACATCTGATGTCAGCAATATTATACGTGGTGGTGCCTTAGCCTCTTCTAAATTCTGCTTGAACTTCTGGCAGTTCCCTATCATATTTGATATTTGAAACACAATTAAGGATATATGTTACCATTGTATGTTTCTGAAATGGAGATGTTGAAGGTCTTCCTTTTTTTATTTCCCAATGACTCTACTTTTCTAGGCATAATGACCTTCTCTGGGGACTGGTCCCATCTGATTACATGGTCCTAAGTATGTGAAAAACAGAGTATGACCATATTCATTCCAAGACTTTTGTTTGTTCTTCTGATAGTTCATGGTATAGTCAATATTCTTTTCCAGTACCATAATTGAAATATATCAATTATTCTTCAGTCTTTCTCACTTTACATGCATATGAGGCAATTGAAAATACCATGGCTTGAGTCAGGTGTGCCTTAGTCTTCAGATGATATCTTTGCTTTTCGTCACTTCAAAAAGGTCTTTTCGGATTTGCCCCAAATCTGTGAAAAATTGTTTGATTTCTTGACTCCTGTTCCCATGGGCTTTGATTGTGAATTCAAGTAAAATGAAGTCCCTGACAACGTCAGTCTTTGTTTGTTTATTATGATGTTCTTAATGGTTCAGTTTTGTTTTCTTTATGCTGAGGTGTAGTCCACATTGATGGCTGTACTCTTTGATCGTCATCAGTGTTTTAAGTCCTTTTCATTTTTAGCAAACAAGGTTGTGTCATATGCATATTGCAGATTGTACCAATTCTAATGCCATGTTCTTTTTCCATACAGTTTGGTTTTTCAGATTAATTTCACAGTATACAGGCTGAAGAAGTAGAGCAAAGGGATACAGCCCAGATGCATACCTTTCTTGATTTTAAATCACGCAGTATCTCCTTTTTCTATTTGAAAAACTTAGGTTCCACATAAGATTAATCAAGTATTCTGGAATTCCTATTCTTTTTTAAAAACAATTTATCAATTTTAATGAATATTTACAGAGATTTTGGGTTTCCATTCATTCATTGTTGCACTTTTTCCCCCCTGCCCTCCTCCCCCCAAGTTCGCTCCTCTCTTTGAAAAGTAAAATAAAAATTCTTTCATTGGTATACAATCCCCACCCCTCTTGACTGAGTGCATACCACTATGCAACCTTCATTCTGGACTCTTGTGATAACCATACTACCCTATCATATATCACTTTTAAAGTGTTCTCTCTCTCATCTATTTCGATACAGTATACATAATTTATCCAGTTTTTATCAGTCTCACCCCAACACTGATGTCAGTCCCATTCAACAACAGTGGCACCATGCAATATTTGTGACTGAGATATTTCACTCAGCATAATGTCCTCGAGGCTCACCCATTCTGAATAATATTGCATGAGTTCCTTATTTTTCAAAGCAGCCTAGTATTCTATTGTGTGAATATACCACATCTTCTCTATCCATTCATTTGTTGGTGGGCACTTGGATTGTTTCCAACTCCTTGCTATTGTGAACAAATCTACAACAAACATGGGTGTGAATATATCTGCTTGGATGTCGGTTATGGTCTCTTTAGGGTATATTCCCAGTATTTGAATTGCTGGGTCAAATGGTATCTCTATTTGCAACTTTTTGAGAAAGCACCACACCACTTTCCACAGTGGTTGCACCATTTTACACTTCCACCAACAGTGAATAAGGGTTCCAGTTTCTCCACAACTTTGCCAGCATTTGTTGCTTGCTGTTCGGTTAAATTTTGCTCTTCTGACTGGGATGAGATGATATAGTTGTTTTGATTTGCATCTCTCTTAGAGCTAGGGATTTTGAACATTTCTTCATGTGTTTGTTGGTCATCTGAATGTCTTCTTTGATGAAGTGTCTGTTCATATCCTGTGCCCATTTTTCAATTAGATTATTTACCTTTATCTTGTTGTGGTGCTGGAATTCCTATTCTTTAGAATATGAAATTCCTTTACAAAAGCTCTAAATAGTTATGATAGCTCCAAATTTAAACAGAATTGCTAAATTAGATAATTAATATAAAAGCACTGAAAACAGGCTTTATTTTAAGTTAGCTGATGTTAGTGAAGTGTGTGGTCCTTATCCTAGTGAGCATTTAGCTAATTCATATCCAAGCCTACTTTGTTTTGCTGATGTGAAATATACATGGGCTTACAAGAACAGGTTTTGGAAAAAATTTAAATAATATCTTAATAAACATGATGAATATAACAATATCAATAAGCTAGCATAAATATGGCTATGAGACATTAAATTCATACACATTTAATCTACTCTTCATAGCACTTTGGTGACAATTTTTTAGAGAAAATAAATACCAGTGATTTTGACACAGAAAAATTAAAATTCCCTGAAAGAATAAAAATAACAGGACAGGGTTGAGCCCTGTTGTTCATAAGGTCACTATCGGTTGTACTTAGCTTAATGTCACCTAACAAAAAATAGCAAGAATAAGTAGAAGCCAATAAGTTGTACCACTAAGTTTTCTTTGCAGAGTTAAATGATTCCTCTATTTATCAAAGTAAATTTATGTAATTTAATATGTTGCTTATAGCAGTTATTCTGTATGAGCTTGTTGCTAGGGTACTGGACTTGGACACTGGAAGATAGTGATTTTTTCATTCTGAGTACTTAGACCTTTATCTATTGGTGATCACTTATTACCAGTCTGCCCAACTTTACCGATTGTAGAAAGACTATATAACAGACAATAAAATTAGTGCTCTCTTAACATAATCACCTCAAATGGATAAATAATAAAATTTTGGTGAGAAGTTTGTTCAGAGTCTTTGTTTGTTGTTTTCTACCCAGAAAACAGACCTAAAAAAAAGTGTTAAAATGTCTGTTTATATGTATATGTCTGGAGCAGGGAGAAAAGGGAAGAGTAACTTTTGAAACATCTGAAGTTTTTAGTAATTCAAATTCACAAAGTTTTTGTGTTTAGTAATTTTGAGTTTATGGGAAATCTATTAACATTTATAATATCATAAATATAATCCTAAATGAAGTTTCAGGGAGCTCTGGTGGCCTACTGGCAAGAAGCTGAGCTGAAATCCCAAAGGCACATAGTTCGAGGTCACCATCTGCTCTGTGGGAGAAGGACGAGCAATCTCCTCCTCTGCAATTAACTACTTCTGAAAGCCCGTCAGAAGGTTAGCTATGGGTCGGTTCTGATTCAACAGTACATGGCAACAACAAAAAATGAAGTTTTAGTGTCCTTTATCCAATTTTAAACCTCATAAACCTCTCAACAACAGTCTTTAAAATTGATTCCATATTTGTTTTCCTTCTTACATGACATTTTCTAAGTATATTTGACTCCCAGTGGAATTATATATGTAATTTTATGAAAAGGTTTTAATACAAAAGTTTTTACAGAATGTACAGACACATTGCCTGGATCTATAAAATAAAATATGTACTTATGTTTCCATTTTAGGGCACTAAATATGAAGAACTACAAGACTGCTTCAGTACAGTCCTATTAACAACTGGAAGACAAATAGCTTTCTAGATCCTTGTTTAAAAACATGTTGTGGAGTGAATAGCTCGAGCATTTAAAACAAAATGTTACCTGCAGCAATAAAATCTTCTTTGTTTTACTACTACTACTACTACTACTACTACTTAATGAATACATAGTCTTTGCTGATAATTATTACTGATCTAGTTTGGGGAGCTTTAGTGGCATAGGCCCTAGGGAGTTTCACTGCTAACCCAAAGGCAGTGTTTAGATCTCTCAGTTTAGATCTTGGACAGTTTAGAACTCTCAGCAGCTCTGCAGAGAAAGAGGGAAATCTCCTGGGTGATTTACAGCCTTCAAAACCCACTATGAGTCAGTTCCAAATGGAAAGCAATGAGGGTTTTTTAGATTGATTTGTGTTTAGGTCTGTAGTCACAATGGATCAGATTCAATGCAAAGACCTAATTGATTTTTTGAGCAGAATCTTAAAATGTAGTTTATGATTTAAAAACTTTAACTTTTTCAAAATAAATTATTTTAAAAAATCCATTCATTTGTTGTACATTTTCCTCCCTCCTCCTCCCTTTCCCGGTTCACTTTGCATTGCACTTTTTTTTT